ATATATATATATATAATATAATGTAAATAAATTCATATTTCACTGTATAGCATGTTAACTAGGAGTACTGGCACTACACTCATATGTGTAAAAAGGCAAAAAGAGTTTGGTTTCCACAACACAACATGGCATATCAGGGCAAAGAAGATTGCCTCCACAGTCTTTTCACAACTATACTCTCTAATAGAAACTTCCCTCATTTTCATTGTAGCACTACAACGAATCCTCGAAAATGAAGGCTCTATAAGAAGGAGTGAGGGAGCCAGATTAAGACAAAATTGAGAGAAAAGAAAAGAGAAGGGGAGTACAAAAATGTTTTTCATAAAAAAAAGTGTTTGTGTACTTTTATGCTTTCCAAATGTTTATGAAAGCATTTAGTTCTTTTACAAGGTATTTAAGCAAGTAGCTTCACAGCATCAGATCCATGGAAGCTTCGAGCTCCACCGCATCGAGGATCAGTCAATCAACAACAATGACTCTCACCATAATGAAGGATATCAATATCGCAACTCCTCTGAAATTTTTGATGTGACACGTCAAAACCATCTCTGTAACACCACTGCAATTTGACAACTATCAAGTGTAGAAAGAACAAATATACAAATTATTTATGGCAAATGGCTTTGAGGATTTTTTTTTTTCAAAAAACACAAGAATTTTTTCTAGTCAAATGAATTTGGAGTTCTTGAGGAAAACCAAGAGTTCTAGTTGTGGCAAGTAATTGATCAAAACTTTATAACTGCAATCTTATCAACAATATCAACTTCCATACTACCATATGTTCTACACCTCCAAAGTACTAGCCAAATTTGGACAAACATGGAAAGGCGTTTTTAATCAGCTAACAGGTCTCGAGTCATCTAGTTGAAAAACGAGCCACACAACATTACCATGGGAGCAACATCACGTCACAATATCTAGCTCAAATTAAAACAATAATTGATAACATTGGTTCTACATGTTCAACAATTAACTATGAGGATATCATACTTTACACTTTGAATGGGCTACCTCAACAATATCAAGGAGTCATACGTCCACAACTGAATCCAATCAAGTCGGAGGACTTTTATTCTCTGCTTCATAGTGAGGAATCAAATCTGACAAATGAAACCACAAAACAAAAACTCATCACAACACTTTTCACGCCCAAACAAAAAACCCAAATAAACCAAAACCAGTTTTTTGCATCAAATTTTTATGTAACGTGTGTAGGATATCCACTTGAACTCAGGATGACTCAATGTCCACTGGTACCATCCTAAAGTTCAAGATATCCATTTGGACCTCCTGATATGTGTCATAAGTACTGAATCAGAATTGATATCGATTTTTTTCCTACTTGGATAAATTCACTGTGAGATGGGGTCGTCTCCGGCTCGACAAATGTTTAACACTTGTCTCGATGTTTAAAGACCTTACCACATCAATCCCTACTCATTTAAGGCCAATTGGAGTTGGAGTCACAAGACTCGCCTGCGGGCACTGCCGGGTAAGAATTAGGATTTTCAGACCACTTTGCATCGCAAATGGATGATCGCTATTTTGAGGGGTTATTCTGGTGTTACGACGTGCCCTTCGGCCTTGCTCGATCGCTAGAGATCAAATTACATCCATTCAAGACCTTTCGAGGCCAAAGGAACTCGGATGAGACCTCCGTCGCACTTCGAGTTCCTAACACTAATTTTGATTTGGCATGGTCACGTCCAATTATGATGTGGTCGCGCCAAAATGACCCATTTATGCACTCAAGATAGAGAGCACAATATAATTATGCCAATAATGTGACATAGCCACGACAGGACACTGGTATAACCACATAAGTTTCAGGCATATTCACTCTGGGCTTCGGAAAATGAGGGCTTAAGCCCTTTTGGCTTGACATGACTGCACCCAGTTTGGGCATGTTCACACAAAGCCAACAACTTTCCTAGCTAAAAATTGTTGACTTTTTTGACTTCTCACTTATTGGTTGCTAGCCCTTTGGCCATGATGGATTTAAAGGGTCAAATAAGGATGCAACATGTGGCATCAACCTCCCAAATGGTCATGCACACCATGCCATGTGGATAGTGGCCATAAATTGATGTTTGGGAGAGAATTTTCTCTCCCATTTGCAGATTATAGGCATACACCTTGAGTACCACCATGAGCATGCCCAGAATACACCTCAAGTGCACATGAAGTATACTCGGAGTATACCTAGAGTACACCCATCCACATATACAAATCACTTGCATGTAATTTTTTTTTTTTTTGAAGAGACACCAATGGTTACACTCCAAGATTCTTTGTTAAAGCTAGGAAATTTCCTTTTTTGGATTGTATGTATAAATAGAATATTTTGAGGCTAAAGCCAAGATTCATTGTTAAAGCTCCTCACCAACAACCTTACAGGCCGTGCTAGACCAGGCAGAGAAATAACAATGGAATAACTTGGAAATTTCCTTTTTAGGATTGTATGTATAAATAGAATATTTTGAGGCTAAATTATGCAAATAATGATGTTTTGGTGATATTTATGTAAATTCCCTCATATTTACAAACCACATCATCAGATCGACGGCTGTGAGAAGGGGCGGCGCGTGACTGCTCGAATTCAACTATCAAATTCGATGCCTATACTGCTCTCGACCCCGCCCGCCGCCGCAATCGCCATCTCCACCACCTCCGCCGCCTCATCTGTCTCAAAAATCCGACATCTCTACTGCTCTCAAAGCCGCCGTCTTCACTTCCGTCGTATAGTTAGTCCTCCTTCGCCTCAGCTCATCTCCTCCTTCTTTCTCGTTCCATTACTTCTTTCGAATCCACTTAATTTCACTGCCTTGTGTTCGTCCAGAACGGCGCTTTCTTATCTCGCGTTCGCACGCCTTTATCTTTCGCGTGGAGAGGAATAATAAGCCCAATGGCGACGGCCGAATCCGATACTCAGGCTCAGACGCAGAGTTCCATCATTTCAACTGGTGAGAACTCTGATTCCTTACCCCCATGCCTTAATTGTGAGAGAAAGATCTGTATTTGATGGTAAAGTTGTTATCTTTATGGCTCATTAGATTTTGTTTTTCGTAGCTCGCAAGCAGGCATTGATATCTCTTTCGGACAAGAAAGACCTCGATTTGCTTGGAAGAGGGCTACAAGAACTTGGGTGAGCTGGTTTTTTACGGTTGGTATTGTAACTATTGCTCATTGGAATAGGGGTGTGATAACTAAAAGAAGTTGAAGTGAGGTTATTTGGTTGATTGGGTTTGGTTTTAAAATAAAGATCAGTTTTTAGTTTTAAAATTTTGAATATT